CCCAAACTTCAGAAATATGTTCAATTTATACCTATCGTTTACCTCTTTCACATAGCATACCCAAAGTACTTATTTATTTGAATTTCATACATAACTTTTCAGTTTTTAGAAAAATCATACAATTGCCGTCAATGTTTACGGTGGCCGTTAAAACGTGATGACGTGGATGCCACGTATTATATGATGTCGTTCTGTTTTTTTATACCCAAACAAAGAACACTCTCTCGACTATATCGACAATTTTCTTCTTTTTTCCCTCTCTCCACTCTCTCGATGACTGTTTGTCTTAGCTAAGTTTTGCTCAAATCATTCTAAAGTATTGGTAGTGTCTAAAACGACAAGGAAAATGAGGTAATCTTCCCAATCTCAATCGGTTTTCTCACAAATGGGTTTTGGTGTTTCAATTTTTTTGATTTTGCATACATAAGGATTTGTATGTTGTTGATCGGAGATGAATTGGTTGTGTGAATGAATATAATTGCATTTCATTTCTGTAATTACAATCAATTTTGGTATTTTGCAATCGTTTTGGTTAAAAAAAGAATGTCCACTTTTTTTGAACACCAAGTGTTCGATAAAATGACTAACTGAATTTTTCTGATTTTTCCAGCGACAATGTATATGTCGATTTTGCAATATACCACGGGGGAAAATTCCTAATTTTGGATGGAGTCACTTTGTCATATGATGGAGGAGAGGTTCATGAGCTTAAAAGCTCTCCAGAAATGGTGCTTAGAAACGTTTCAGATGCATTGGGAGTGTCTTTGTATGGCCAAAGGATCTGGTACAAGCTTCCGTTTGAGGACTTTACGGAGCTGAAAATGATGTGTAATGGAGATTCAATGTTTCAAAAAATGGTACAATCAACAATGTGGACAAAAGCCGCAGATATTTTCTTGGAGCAAAATGTTGTTGATGGTGATGAAGCGCCTGCTAATGGTGATGAACCGGTTAACGGAGAAGCTGGTGATATTGATGGTGAACTGCTTGAGGAAGATGCACAAGTGGAGCTTAATGTTGCAGGTTTTGTTGATGAAGAAGAGCATTACAATTCCGAGGCAACTCCAGAAAATTCAGATGATGAAGATAGTGGTCCACAAAACCATCACCAAAGGTATAAAAAAGGTAGTGGCGAGCTGAGTTTAGGTATGGGATTTGACAGTATAGCTGAGTTCAAAGAAGCCGTGATTGAGTACAGCTTGAAGTATAAAGTCAATGTGAGGTTCTCGAGATGGGGATATGTAAAATCAGAGGTGAAGTGTGCAGTTGTTGCTGAAGATGATGGTGATAAGAATGTAGTTGATGTTGATGAGAACAGAGCTGGTGGTGATACGAATGAAGCTTGTGGTGATGCGAATGAAGCTGGTGGTGATGCGAATGAAGCTGGTGGTGATGCGAATGGAGCTGCTGGTGATGCGAATGGAGCTGCTGGAGATGCTGAAAAGGAGGATGCCGACATAGAGGGTAATGGTTGTGAGTTTAGAATCTATTGCTCATTTGAGAGATCTGCTGGAATGTACTTGATTAAGACATTCAACGATGAGCATTCATGTATCCCGGATGGCTACAGCAAGGTACTTAAGGGAAGGGTCATTGCAAAGATGTTATTGAATGACATTAGAAGAGATCTTATTATGAAGCCGAAGGCAATGCAAGCAGCAATTGAGGAGAAATACAACTTGATCGTGACGAGTGACCAATGTAGAAAAGCTAAGACAACAGCTTTGTCAATGATACAAGATGAACACGACGAGCAGTTTTCAAGGCTAAAGGACTACAAGACAGAGCTTATAAGGTAAGTAAATCTAACTTTATGTCCACTAACTCTTCAGTTTAGTAGTTTGATGTTCTGAATTTTTTTTTGTTTTTTTTGTTTGTTGATTTGCATAGGTCTAATCCAGGATCTACTGTCGAGGTTGGGACAATCACAAATGAAGATGGTTTAGAGACATTTGACAAGGTGTATGTGTGTTTAGGGGCACTAAAGAGAACTTGGGTTGATCAGTGTCGTCCCATCTTTGGGATAGATGGTTGCTTCTTGAAGAATAATGTCCAAGGACAACTGTTGGCAGCTGTAGGAAGAGATGCAAACAACCAATTATTCCCCGTGGCTTGGGCTGTCGTGCAAGTGGAGGACGGAGACAATTGGGTATGGTTCATTCGAAATCTGAAGCACGATTTAGGACTCAAAGACGGTGAAGGATTCTCTATTATTTCTGATAGGCAAAAAGTAAGATGATAATTTTATAATACTCCTTTACTCTTGCAAATCCTGTCTCTAATATTAACATGTTTTATTTAATTTGGCAGGGTTTGTTAAATGCAGTTGACCAAGAACTGCCTAGAATTGAACATCGTATGTGTGCATGCCACATCTATGGAAACTTAAGAAGAGTTTTTTCGGGGAAAGAGTTGCCTAAGGAGAAGTTTTGGGCAGTCGTAAAGAGTTACAACATTGGCGACTATGAAAAATCTCTCAAAGCATTGAAAGACTTTGATGTTGGCGTGTATGAAGCTATGATGAAGAAGAATCCGTATAACTGTAGCCGTGCATTCTTCAGCTCAAACTCGGTTTGTGAAGATGTATCGAACAACTTCTCTGAATCTTACAACAATGCAATCAACAAAGCAAGGGAGATGCCACTAGTAGAGATGTTAGAGACGATAAGAAGGCAAGCTATGATCCATATGGATCTAAGAAAGACGAAGGCTATGCGGTGGAAAACAAAGTATAGTGAAAAAGTTGCCAATACCATCAAGGAAGAGAAGACCAAATGCAAGCATAGTCCGGTTGTTCCTAGTGGAAATGGGCTGTACGAGGTAATTGACAATGGTCATGGTGTCACAGTTGATATGACATCAAATACATGTGCTTGTAGAAGGTGGAGTATGACAGGTATTCCTTGCCATCATGCTTTGAAAGTGATTACAAAGAGGAAGGGTGATCCGCTGAATTATGTGTCACACTGGTATTTGACATCGAAATGGAGGAAGCAATACACGGATTCAATCCGTCCAGTTAATGGAATTAACTTCTGGAGAAGATCACTTGAAACCACCATTCAACCACCATCAAGAGATGACCGGCTGCCTACAAAGGAGGAAAAGAAAAGAAAAAAAGGAAAGGGTGAGTTTCCACAGAAGAAGAAGAAAGGAAAGGGAATAACCGAGCCTAAAGAGAAGAGGATAAAGCTGGCTGTAGAGGGGAGAATTTCATGTTGTGGACGGTGTGGACTCCCAGGACATAACTCAAGAATATGTGACCAAACAGGATGTTTCTTTCTCAGACCAAAGAAACAACCATCCGGTCTTAGTGAGGGAGAGGGACCAAGCCAGCAAAGCCAACCATCGCAGAGTTCACATCAAGCATCGCAGAGTTCTCATCTTGGTTGAAGGTATTATTTTGTGATTTTTATACATTGATGATGATTTTGGGATTGTTTTGGTGATTGTTTTGTTATGATGGTTTGATCAGTGTTAAAACCTTTGCTTGTTATGATTTTGTGATTTTTTATACTTAGATGATGATTTGTGATTCGTACAGGTGATTGTTTGTGAATTTGATGATGGTTTGATTAGTGTTACAACATCTGCTTGTTACGATTTTGCAGGATTTGGGAGAAGATTGGGATGAAAAGATTACAAGCTTGAGAGGAGGTTATCGATTCGATTTGGTTTTTCTTTTTGATTTGGGGTTGACTTAAGCTGTTTCAGATATTTCTTGTTAATGCTTCAAACATGGCTTATTTCTATTTTGGAATTGGCATGGGAAATAACTTTGGTTGTTAATGCCTCCTCAGATGTAAAATTTTCAATGGTTTCGGCTTGTTCATCACAACTTTTTTCCCCTATGACTGCAAAATCTCAAATCTCAAATACATCTCTTAATTATAATCTCAAATCTCTCTTAACAATCCCATTAATCTAAATCAGCAATCCTATAATTAATAGCCAACACTACAATACAATACTGCAACACTACAATATGAAATAGATGAAGAAGACCAATCCCAAACCACACACGATCATGTTTTTGCAGCAACTAGCAGCAGATTTAAGTTCTTCTAACTCCTTCTCACAAGAATTCACCATTGTCTTAAGCTCTTGAATCTCTTTGTTGCATCCTTCTGCATTCTTATTTGCCACAGCCTCACACGTCCTTGTCTCCATCGCCAAGTTCTCAACTTCCTCTCGCATCTTGTCAACCTCTCTTTCAACCATTCCCATCTCCTCAACCATTGAAATATCGACCCATTTGAACAAATGATTGTTATTCTATAAAATCTTTAATCAGCAAATCACAAGGATGAAATTATGCAAATTCTCAGATCAAACAACTAGTTTTAGAGCCTTACCTCTTTCGACCCAAACGGACAGCAGTAGAAAAGTCTACCCGGATTCTTCTCTGTCTCTGAAGTCCTAATTATAGATGCTTCTCCACATCGACAGCTTCTCGGAATTCCGAATCCTCCGTCACGTCCATGGCGTTTTTTCCCGTCGTAGCTCACTCCTTCATAGATGAAGATAATCATCAATTAACTATAATCAAACTCCGAAATGAACACAACAACACCAAATTTAAAGAATTGCTCACCTGAAGTAGTTGATGAAGATATCTCATTCAACCTAAAAAAATTTTCGTAACGATTTTTTTTGCCCAAATCTGCGGAGTTTAAAGGTTGAAGATGATTCAAAACGACGTCGGTTTGTATAAAATTGAATAAAACGACGTCGTTTTTAAAATTTTTGGTTTAATGATAACAAAAACCGTTTATATCGATAATCTACGTCATTTTAGAGTTAACGGACCATTAGCCATCTCAGCTGCCGTTAACAGGACATTAACCACGTCACGAGATTTGTATGATTTTTCCAAAAACTGAAAATTTATGTATGAAATTCTAATAAATAAGTAATTTGGGTATGGTCTGTGAAGGAGGTAAACTGTAGGTATAAATCAAACATATTGCTAAAATTTGGGCATGAAAAGGCCGTTTTCCCGTACTTTTCTTCTTAATATTATACTATGTTTACATAGTTGTCCCGACTCTCCTGCCCAATGCATATGTAATTTCGTCGAACACTTAGTGTACAAACTTTGGCGCACTTCACAAAACTCGAAACTCGAGGGTTTAAGGATTTTTTTCGCGTCTGAGGAAGAAACCCTAAAAAAAAATGTCTCCATTTCGAACTCTGACGACTCTTCTAAGAGTAACTCATCGGCCATCACGTTCCTTTTCTTCTTCGCAGGCTCCGATCTCCTCCGCTTTCGCTAATTCAATCTCCGGTAACTTCCCTTAGATCAATCTGATTATGAAATTCCTGAAACTCTCCTTCTCTCTTGCTGGGTTTTACCTGCAATGATGACCAATGCTTGTGTTTCTATTGAAATTTTATATCTCGTGGCTTAGATTTTTAAGTTGTTCTCACAATGATCGAATTTGATAAGTAACCTTTCACTGGAAAACAGAATCATAGTCGTGTGAATGTGTTCTCTTTGATTTAAATGTGATTCAAGTAGAGATGCTGTTTATGATTCTGAGTTTTTTCATTACAAAGCTTTGGACTTTTATCTGAATGATTAGAGTTTATCGAATCTTTTGAAATTTGATGATTGCAGGAAAACCGAGGATTTCGTATCAGAATAATTCTGGAGGCCATACAAGGAACTTACGTCACTTGGATCCTCGGCTTTGGATGATCTTTTCAGGACAAGCTGGTGCGTATGTTATGCCGAAATGTTGATACTTTGTGACGTTATGATTCTAATTTCTTAACTCTTGTGTTTGCATTTGACATTGTTCCTTCCTTTTCAGCAATACTTGGGTTTTGTGGGAACGTTGTATTGGCAGAGAATGAGACAAAACCTGTAGATGATACTGGTCTAGAACGAATCGAGGACGGTTCTGTCGTATCTAATATACACACATCTAAGTGGAGAGTGTTTACTGATAGTGGAAGAGATCATTTCTTTCAGGTTGGTTGATTTTTTTTTAAGAACGATGAAGCTTAATCTGTTTCTTCGTCTTTGAACAAGCTGTTTTTTTTTTTTTTGTCTTGCTCTATTTTATAGGGGAAACTGAAGCCGGCCGAGAGACTTTTTAGTTCGGCAATACAGGAAGCTAAGGAAGGTTTTGGAGAGAGAGATCCACATGTTGCATCTGCATGCAACAATCTGGTTGGCCTCTGTTGGATTTACTCAGCTCTTAAAAGTTTCTATGTTTATTTTCCTTTAGATCTCAGTGCTTGTCCATTTCATATGATATTTATGAAAAATGTATCAGCATCTAGAGTATGGTCCTCAAAGCTAAGTGTCTTAACATTTTTACTGTTTAGATATATCCTTGTTACCAATTTCCTGTCTGTTGGTATAAGATTTTCCCACAATGGTTACTTCTCTTTCTGAGAAGTTTCATTCTTATTTGGGAGAGTGATCTCTTCCCAATTCTTTGATTTTTACAGTGCTCTGCGTTTCAACACTTGTCTTTTTTTTTTGGTCCAAATTTCAACACTTGTTACTTCTTGTTTTCTTAGACTAATTGCTTTATTTTTTCTTTCCTCTATGTAAGGCAGAGTTATATAGAGTGAAGAAAGAATTCGACAAAGCAGAGCCTTTGTACCGGGAAGCTGTTAGTATATTGGAGGAGTCCTATGGTCCTGAAGATGTGCGGTGAGAAATCAATATCTTTTGATCTGAAACTTAATTACATGGTCGCCATTCGCTTGAACGTGGCAACATATATTGTAAAATACCAATTTTGATGCTATCTGACTAATGCTATTGTTCTGAAGATTTATATATTTAAGATCACAATCATAACTTACTCATTCAACAATACTCACATTCATAACTTTTTTATTCAACAATACTCTTAACAATGTAGTGTTGGTGCTACTCTACACAACCTTGGACAACTCTATCTTGTCCAGCGGAAACTTGAGGAAGCTCGTGTGTGCTACGAGGTAATCACCATTGCAAATTTACCTGTCTCTTTGTTAATTCTTATTCGTTGCCTTTTTTTTTTTAATATATTATCCATGATCTTTTGATATACTGCCACCAGAAGTTCAAATGATAAGATTTACATTCTATGATTTTAACTTATTTCTAAATTTTTTTGTTGATCCCTCCTTGCGCAGCGTGCTTTAAAGGTATGGATGTGATTTAGCTTTATTATTTTTGTACTTCACTTAGAAGTCTCTACTATTTATTTCTCTTCTGATTATTTCTTGTGATCCTAATCTAGTTGAAAGGACGAGTCCTGGGATATAATCATCCGGATTATGCAGAGACAATGTATCATCTTGGAACGGTACTCTCCTATTTCACTTTTTTATTTGTCTTTATTAATTTTTTCTTTTCTTGGACTTAAGCTTCTTGCATCATGTATATATCTATAGTGGATCGTGATATCTTGACTTTATCTCATTCATACATGTGATGAATTGCATCTAATATCACACGTCCAAGCCGAGATGAAGGCCTGATTCTATCTTTCATTTTAAAACTTCCTTGTAACATAATGATTTGAAATGCGACAGGTATTACATCTGCAAGGAAAAGAAACAGATGCGGAAGCTCTTATTCTGGATTCTCTTAAAATACTTGAGGCATGTCGATAGTCTAATGATAGCTGATATATGTGCTGTCTTGACGTTTCTTTTTGTCGGTTGTGTGCTTATTTACTGTAATTTTTTTTTTTTTGTGATGTAGGAAGGTGGTCAAGGAGAGTCCATGACATATATCAGGAGACTGAAATATCTTTCTCAGGTTCTATAATTCGGATTTTGCCTTCTGTTTTTACGATGCATTGATCTGACAAGATCCACAAAATTGTAGATACTCTTAATCATTTCAGTGATTTTACTTTCCCGTCTGTTGCTTCAGATATATGTACGATCCAATCGCCTGGCTGAAGCTGAAAGCATACACAGGAAAATACTGCACCTGATGGAATTATCAAAGGTGTGGTTTTGTCTTACTTAACTTTCCTTTAGCTATTTCTTCCAATGATTCAACAATTTACTTTCCTTCTGGGTATTGTTGCATCTTTTTCCTTTCCTTGAAAACTCCAACTTTCTAATCTACTGCCAAAGAAAAAAAAGTTCCAAGTTCCTGTTACTTGCAAGTTTAAGTCTCTAATATATATAATGCAACTAGAGAGGACTATAACTGGAACGATAATAGTATTATGGTTAAATTAAGCTTAATTATGCTTTTGAACTGTTTACTATGCATCGATCATAAGTTGATGAGATCACTTTTAGCTGTGTTTTTATGATTCTTCTAGTTTTTAGTTCTTAATAGCTAATATTTATCACAGGGATGGAACTCAATGGAGGCAGTAACTGCAGCTGAAGCATTAGCTCTGACTCTACAATTATCTGGGAAGCTGAGAGAAGCTCTAGAACTTTTTGAAAAGTGAGCACATAGTAAGATTTCGATCCGTTTATCAGAGTAATATATGAGGATCCTCAAGTGTATATGACGATTTTCCTTGTTAGGTGTCTCGATACTCAAAAAACCTTACTTCCAGAAGGACATATCCAGGTTCACTCTCTTCTCTCACTAAATTCATCTTTTACACTGGGCAATAATGTATTCATCTTCTCTCTTCTCCGGGATCGATAGATAGGTGGAAATTTTTTGCACATCGCGAAGACATTGATGCTTCAGGCTACTCAGTTGAGAAGAACAGATAAGAGTGAAGCTCTATCTAAACTTGAAAAAGCAAAGAATTATCTTGAAGACTCATCTAGGTTGGCATCTATATATATCTTTCTCTCTTGTCTCAGCTTAAACTAATGGTTGTTCTTTGATCTTTCTGTAATCTTCACATAAAAGAATGTAACAAGGAAAAAAACATGTTTGTGGTGAAAAACCAGGATAGCAAAAGATGTTCTGCTTAAGCTGAAAAACCGAAAGAGCAAAGAGCAGAAACACGGAAAATCCAATGGTACTCTAAGGAATTATGAACACGCAGCTTTAGTCATACTGGTAGGTCTCAACAGAACCAGTACTTATACGGCTTATTTGTGTTTGATTTTGTTTAAGAAGATCGCGTTTGGGTCCTTCTCTGTTTCTGTGCAGCTGCAATCTCTTGAGAGTCTTGCAGTTTTGGAGATGAGTAAAAATGAGATCCAGGAGCCAAAGGTTAGTATTGTAATAAGAGAGTTCAATGTACAGTACTTGACTTTGTATTGATGCTTTACGCTAAACAACAAATCTGTGTAAACCTACTGATTCATGGCGTTGCAGGAAATGCATCCGCATGAAGCTGAAGATGCACTTCTCCAATGTCTTTCAGCTTATAAAGAGGTAAAACAATTGATCTCTTCTCCAAAAAATGAAACCACGAACCTAAAAACCTCTAGAGCTTGTTCCAGAGAAACAAAAAACTCTGGATTGTCCACAAGTTTCTTGAAGCCACTCTATACAATCTAAACTGTAACTAACTAATTAGACTGACAAATCCATATACAGTTGATGATGAAGAACTTTTCTCTTTTCCTTATGACCACTGATCACAATCATCGACTCGAGAGGATCCTTAAGAATTTGTTAATCTCAGCTCTCATTGAATTTGAGTATCCACTTCTTGGCCTTTCTTTATCCCAAAGAATCTGTTACTAACTAAAACGGAATTTTTGATACAGTGTTGAAAGAAAACGTTGGACATGATTCTTGGTTTTTCATTGTTCTTTCCTTTTTTGCTGCAGTTTGGTTGTGGTGGAACTCAGCTGCAAGATTCTCCTGAAGTAAAATCAGAATACCTTTCGTGTCTTAAGCATCTCTCAGCTTTATTAGCCAACAAAGAGACTACGCTTAACTCAAAAGCAAGTCCTGTTTCTTTATTGGAGCTGAAGGAAGAAGTTAAGCGTATTGAAATCGATCTTCTTTCGCATAAGAAAGGCTAAAAAAAAAAGCTTGTGATTAAGATGATATTTCTCGAATAAAGGTAATTATCAAGATCCGATTGTTGAATTTAAAAGAATTTAAATGAACTAATATGCGATACATTGCAAAGTATTGTAAATTTAAACAGATATTTTCAAGGCAATAAATTCTAAACATTTTTTTGGGCAGACTATTTTGTGCGTTCACTATAACTGCGGCCAAAATTAAAAATTGAAGAATACTAATGATGTGACTAAATATAATTATCAAAAGGCAAACGTCGTCGTTTTGTTCACGCGATTGAGACTAGACGTTGTCGTTTTGTTTAACCGTCCAACATATGCTTTGCTTTCAACTCCAGAGACGATATTGCCATTTCTCCAATCTCCATGCTCTCTATTCTCCGAATCCTCTTGAAACCTTTTCTGGTTGAATTGATTCAATCTTCAATCGAATTCGAGGATTTAGATTATAACAGTAAGTAAACCCAATTGAGAAATTCGCAAATAGCTTCGATTGTTACATGATCTAATCTTTTTCGACTCATCCCATTACCATGTTTTGATTTGCAGATCAGATTGAGGAATGGCTTCTGATAGAGAAGACTTTACTCTCTGTGGTCCTTCACACCTCACAAATTTTGATTGGTATGTTTTTGTTTCTTTGTGACATTAATTTAATTTTCTTGTATGAGATTCTGCTTCTTTTTTCTGTTCAATCCACATTATACATTGATTTGATTCCACTTGAGAAATCGTTTGTGAAGAAGCTTTGTGCCATAGATTTATCAATTTTGTGTTTTTTTCTTGGTTTTTTAAGGGCAAACGAAAATCACCAACGTTGTGTAGCAGCTTGTTTAGTTCAAGGGATTTACATTGTAGAGCGTGATCGTCAGCTTAAACGTGAAGGCTCTGAAGCTCTCGCATCTCCATGGTGGGACTTCTTCAACTTCAAACTCATCCGTCACCTTGTAGACGACGCCGATTTCTCCATCTTCGGCGGCATTTACGAATTCAAACCACCACAAGACACCACCACCACCACCACGGTCGTAGACTCTGGAGTTCCACGCTATGTCTTAGCTTTTAGAGGAACATTGACTAAACCTGACTCGATATCTCGTGACCTTGAGTTAGACATACACATTATCCGAAACGGGCTTCACAAAACGTCCCGTTTCGAGATCGCTATGCAAGCCGTGAGAAGCATGGCTTCTTCTTCTTCCGGTGCGTCGAGCCTCTGGTTAACAGGACATTCTATGGGCGCGGCGATGGCGCTTTTAGCCGGAAAAACATTGGCAAAGACCGGTGTTTACATCAGATCGTCGCTGTTCAACCCTCCGTTTGTTTCTCCACCGATCGAGAGAATAGCCAACGAGCGTGTTAGAAGCGGGATTAGAATCGCAGGGAGCATTGTAACAGCGGGTCTCGCTCTCTCAAGAACACTGAAACAAGCACAACAGCAGCAGAACCAGCAGCAAGAAGTGAAACAACAGAACTTGTCTGAAGATACGATAAAGGCGCTGTCTTTGTGGTTACCTGAGATACATGTGAATCCAGGGGACCATCTATGTTCTGAGTACATTGGGTTTTTCGAGCACCGAGGAACAATGGAACAGTTTGGGTATGGAGCCGGGTTCGTTGAGAGGATGGCGATGAATCATTCCTTGGGAGGTTTGTTGATGGATGCGATGGGAGTGAGTAATGCAGTGGAAGTAGATGAACCGGTTCATGTGATCCCATCGGGTAAGTTAATAGTAAACAGGACTAATTCTGAAGATTACAAGGAAGCTCATGGGATACACCAATGGTGGAGAGATGACCAAGATTTGGTTTCTCACATTTACTTGTTCAAATAGCTTACTGAACCAGACCCAAACCTTAACTAAAAATGAATTTTTATTTCGATTGCAATAACCTTCAGTGTTTTTTTCTGTCATACCATATTATATATGTCGTCATGACATGTGGAAGTGTGACTGTGTGATTAATTGGAACTTCTGATTTCTTGTGATTGAACTTCTGATTTCTTGAAAATCCTATAAGATTTGTATTGGAAGTGTCTCAGACTAAACTGTTAGTTTTTGAGAACGTTGATTCTTAAATATCAAATGTAAAATGAGTAATGACCAAGAGTTTTTAATTGTGATGCTGCAATTAGCATTTGAATTTTTTCTTCTAAGTAAATCCGGTAAAATCAAATAAAACTGTGTCGATAGAGTTTCTTAATCAAACCAGTAATATTGTGCGAAGGACAATTGGGAAAGCAAACCAGTAATTTCAGATTAAACGAAAATATAAGTCACAAGTGTCCATAAAGCAAACCAATTCTTTGAAGTTACAAACCTAAAATTGGTTTGCTTATGGGTTACGTAAATTCAGATTTTTATGAACCGGTTTGGTTCATAAAAAATAGTAAAAAGTAAAAACTTAAAACCTCAAAGCTTGGAGCGAAAATATAGGCAGCTAATTGGTAAACCTAAAACCCTCTCCTCCAAGGATTCAACTTTTACAAATTCCACAGTATACTCTTCTCGAACAGAGCATTCTTGTCGGAATCTATTGCAAATTGAAATTCCCACCAAGATTCTTGTGATGAAAAGAGCATACACATATACACATGCGTGATACATTGCTAGCCGAATGATCCAGAGATCATCATCTCTCCTTTCCTCGCCGTCAATCGAAACCCTTTTGAAGCTCTGCAAATCTGAGATTCAGCTTCATCAAATACATGCCAGAATCATCCGTAAAGGTCTTGAGCAAGACCAGAATCTCGTCTCCATCTTTCTTTCATCGTCTCCCTCTCGCTCTTACTCGTCCTCTGTTTTTGAGCGTGTTCGTCACCCCTGCACTTATCTCTGGAACTGCTTCATCAAAGGATACTCCAATAGGTTTCTCTTCTTCGAGACGGTTTCGCTTCTCGTTCGTATGATGAGACAAGGCTTGGCTCGGCCTGATGATCATACTTTCCCTATGATTATGAAAGTTTGTGCTAACAATGGACAGGTTCGTGTTGGTTCAACGGTTCACGGATTGGTTCTGAGAATTGGGTTTGATAAGGATCTGTTTGTGGCTACAAGTTTTGTCGATTTCTATGGGAAATGCAAGAATTTGTCGAGCGCACGCAAGGTGTTCGGTGAAATGCCTGAGAGAAATGCGGTTTTTTGGACGGCCTTGATTGTTGCTTATTTGAAATCCGGTAAGAGAGAGGAAGCGAAGAAGATGTTCGATATAATGCCTAAGCGAAATCTTGAATCTTGGAATGCCTTGATAGATGGGTTTGTGAAATCCGGAGATTTGGTGAATGCTAAGAAGTTGTTTGATGAAATGCCTAAGAAAGACATAATCTCATATACATCCATGATTGATGGGTATGCTAAAAGCGGTGATATGCGTTCTGCTCGAGTTTTGTTTGAGCAAGCGAGTGATGTTGATGTTAGAGCATGGTCAGCTTTGATATCGGGTTACGCGCAGAACGGCCATACGAACGAGGCTGTGAAGCTATTTCACGAAATGTATGAGAAGAATGTCAAACCTGATGTGTTTATAATGGTGAGTTTGATGTCAGCTTGTTCACAGATGTGTAGCTTTGCGTTATGTGAACAGATTGATTCTTATCTGCAAGAACGCATGAAGAAGTATTCTAGTCATTATGTTGTACCTGCTTTGATAAACATGAATGCCAAATGTGGCCATATGGACAGAGCAGCTGCACTGTTCGAAGAGATGCCTCGGCGAGATCTTGTTTCGTACTGTTCAATGATGGAAGGAATGGCTATTCATGGGTGTGGAGGTGAAGCTGTTCAGCTGTTTGAGAGAATGTTAGAGGAAGGTATTGTCCCTGATAAAGTTGCCTTCATAGTAATATTGAAAGTTTGTGGCCAAGCAGGGCTTGTTGAGGATGGCTTAAGGTATTTCGAGCTGATGCAGAGAAAGTATTCGATTGTGGTCTCTCCTGATCACTATTCCTGCATTGTGAGTCTTCTTAGCAGGTCAGGAAAGCTCAAAGAAGCATATGAGCTTATCAAATCCATGCCTGTGGAAGCTCATGCTAGTGCTTGGGGTTCGCTTTTGGGAGGTTGTAGTGTACATGGGGATACAAAGATCGCGGAAGCAGTCGCGAGGCGGCTCTTTGAGCTTGAACCGCAAAGTGGCAGTAACTATGTGCTTCTGTCGAACATTTATGCGGCTTTGGACCGGTGGGGAGATGTTGCTCATCTTAGGGATAGAATGAAGGAGAATGGCATTAAAAAGATTTCTGGTCGAAGTTGGATTAGTCGGTAAGCACTTGGTCGATGGAAGACTTTGCTTAACTTAACAAGACTATCAGGCAAAATCACCAAAGGTAGTTCTTAACTTCTTATCATTATAAGCTTTTTATTCTGTTTAAGGTTGTTTTCCTTCTCTCGGTCAAATATTACTTAAACAGAACCAGCCTGAAACATCATTGCGACCAAAGTTTATAGAGAAGTGAGTTTTGTTCCAACTGAAAATGACTCTAATGACATGTAGACTTGGTGGAGAGGTTGGATATAATCCATCCCTATACTTGTGAACATTGTTGTTACCATATGCATAGGCTTCAAGTCCACTGTGTTATTTCTCATGTGATGTAAAAAACCTATGTTTGGACTTCACATGGAAGCCTTTTCTGCTTTATTACAGATACAATCTTTTGGTTCTTTGCTTTGAGGGACTCGAAGATAACAACCAAGAATCAAGAATGAGGCATGAGAGAAATAAAGATCATAAATAAGATCTGCATTTATGGATTTGATACGTCTAAGAGCTCACAGTCATTGGAGAAAAACTGATCTTCAGGTTTTAAGACCACTTAGAGTCTGAATAAGTGAATATAAAGGAATCATATTTTTTCTAAGACCACTTACAGTCTTTGTTTCATGTGAATCTGTAATTTTATGGCAATGTAAGTTTCATGTGAAGGTTTAAATCAAACCTTTTTTTGTCTAAGTGATATACGTTAAAATTAAAAAAAATAGTCAATTTCTCTATAAACTAACAAGTTCTTGACAATTCATATATGACCTATCAACCAATGCTAATAACTATATAAACTATCTAAAATTTGAAAAATACTACATGAACTAAAAAAAATAAGATCGATTCCACTAAAATTACATATAACGGTTATTTAATTCTCCTATAATTCAAATTCTTAATGATTCATATATGATCTATGAACTAATGCTAATAAGTACATGAATTATTTAAATTTTTAATAATATTATATGAGCTAAAGAAATATGGTCGATTCCATCAAAATCACATACGATAAGTCCTCTACAAATCAATAATATTGAGACTTCAAAATTTTATTAATTTATAGAGTTATTAATTATTCAATAAATTAATAATTATAGAGCTATTTTTAGTTCAAATTCTTTATGTTATCAAAAGAAAAAAAATATATTTTCAACAATATAAAATTCATTCAAAAATGTTATAACAGTGAATTTGGAGAGCAACATTTATAAACTTGAAACATTAATATAATTATATTTATATACAATATATTATTTATATATGCATAAATATATAATTATTAATTATGTTATTATTGAGACCATATTTTTACATAAAAATTCTAAAACAAATTATTATCTTATTATCTTATCGAAGTTTGCTAATTTGTACATGACCTAACTTGGGAATGGAATGGTAAAATTTATTAATATATAGTGATTATTAATTTATCTAGTTATAATTTATAGAGATTCTACTGCATAACATTAATTGCAGTGTTAGCGATTGCTAATTAGGATGATACATAAAAATTTGAAATATCATTTCAAGAAATTGAATCTAAAACACCCAAAACGTCATCATTGTATCTTTGGATTGAATTTATGTATTTTAAATTTATTTAATCTATATATATATATATATGTTTGTGGATTTTGGCTCTGGTTATGGATTTGACCCGGTTATTGATAATCATAATTTACTGTCCGGCTATGGTTTCTCTTTCAACGAGCTACCACCAGCAGAAGAAGAAAAGTTTCAGATTACGATGAACTCAAAACCTCTAATAAATCAAAATATATGTTTTTTCTCTGTCGAATCGTCTTCTCCTCCAAAACGACTGAATTCAGGTCAACCAGATCGCCGAATTATTCATAGACGATCCTAACTAGTTGTTAGCGGTAATCATCGACCAGCTATTCAACGCGGCAGCGGAACTAATCGGCAACACAAACGACAAAGATAACAACGTGATGTTTGAAACGGGTAAGAAAATCAATTATTTAATAATAAAATAACATCGTTTTAATCATACATGTATTATCCTAGTCAGAAATCAGTATCACTGTAAATAATGTTATATGTGATTTTGGTGAACATATTTCTTTAGTTTATATAGTATTTTTAAAATTTTAAATAGTTTATGTAGTTATTAGCATTGTTTCATAAATCATATATGTATCATTAGGAATTTGAAAGTTTATAAGGGAATCAACCATTTTTCCACACCACATGTCGTTCTAGTCAGCAATAACTAATGCTACAAATAATGTTATATGCGATTTTGGTGGAATCGACCATATTTCTTTAGTTCATGTAGTATCTTCAAAATTTTAAATAGTTCATGTAGTTATTAGTATTAGTTCATAGGTCATATATGAATTATCAGGAACTTGTTAGTTAATAAGGGAATTGACCATTTTCCCATTCAAATCTCAATAAATTATTACCGTTAAGAATTTAAAAATTTATTAATTTATAAAGATTATTTTTTCAGTTTAAATTTTCAATTTATAAAAAATAATCATTTTTTCAATATTATAAAATTCGTTTAAAAATATTATATTAATTTAAAGATGTGTTATGTGTTTCGATTAGGCCCTCGGCAATTTGGATTATCGGTTCGGTTCAGATCGGATATTTAGGATTTTACGTATTTCAGTACTATAACATTTGGTACTGATCGGGTATTTTGTAATTTTTGATCAGATTCGGTTCAGAGCTCTTCGGGTTCGGATCAGTTCGGATATTGTCATTCGGATCTAGTATTTCTCAGATTTGGTTTCGGTTCAGCTCAGATTAATACTTATACCTGATTGGTAACTAAAAGTAACCAAATGTAAACAAAAGTAATTGAAAAACCCACAAATGTAACTTAGCATTGAAATTCACTCAAAATTCAAAAGTAAACTTGATTATGAAGCAAACTAAATGTCTAACTGCAAATTCAAATTGTATTCAAAGAACAGAAGTAAAGAAGAAAAAACACATCACATTACATAAAACCAAACAAAAGTAGTTGAAAGAACTTACACCATCCCATTACATAAAACCAAACAAATCAAGTTTAAAGAACTTAATGTCTTAAACCATCTTGCAAAGCTAAAGCTTCAGTTTCTCCATGTTTCTAAGACCCTAACTCGCTGTTACATCAATATCAAATCAACTTACTATCATGGCACTCAAAAGAAAAATATACTAAGAGTTCATGTTCAAGTGAGAAAGTTACCTTAACGTCAATGCATCTTATATCTTCTAGTCCAAACTGATTCCTGTATAGAACTCTGGAAAAGAGTTAAAAAATAATTAGAAATCCAAATGCCAAAGTTTACAAGTAAAATGGAAAAAAATATAAAGAAAGATTTAACTTAAATTTTTCAAGTTCAGTGTGTAAATCAGCATCCGCAAGTAGAATTAAGTTTGTAACAAATCTTCTATCAATTAATTTAATCTCTGACTTCATCCATTGTTCTGTACACATCTAGACCTCAATCATGTAATGAGATAAACAGCTTCTATAAGGATCGATAATTCTCCCACTAGTACTAAATTCACTCATGGATGCAACAGATGACACTTGCATTGTAAGAACATCTCTAGATACTTCATATAGAATTAGGAACTTGTCAGTATTGACCTTCCACCAAGACAGAACATCATACTTGGTTCCAGCTAAAATTTTAAGATTTTCAACTGCATCTGTCAAATATATATTTAACTCGTTTCTGCTCTACTCAATACTTTTTTCATTTACTAATTCCTTGTAAACAAAATTCATCCTTTCATATCCTAGATCATCATCCACCAAATCTATATTTTGAGACCCCAAAACATGCTCTTGACCACTAGAAGATGATGTCTGAGTCGACTGAGATGCTTGCACATTCAAATCCTTCTTTAACTGAAGACTGTACTCGTCCAACATAGACTTCATGACATCAAATACTGATTGAACCATTGTTTTATATTCTGCAGTGTCTTTGCCATAAAGCCTTTCAAAGCAAAACGTAGCAAGCTGCATTTCTTTAGTTGGATCAAAAACAATCAGTATCCAATTGATGTTCTTTAATCCCTTCCAATACTTGTCAAACTTTTCTCTCATATTAGCGGCCTTAGCTGCTAACTCTTTGTCTTCACTATTGATCTTGTTCACTAGATTCCTCTCTATAGTAACTATCTCATTATAGCATTAATAAGAGCAAATCGAAGTAGATGCCGAGACAACCAAAGTAGAATTGTAGAAAATGATGAGAAATTGTACTAACCTTTCCATAGCTTTCCAATCATCAAAAAGAGGAGGTCCAATCCTTCTTTTCCCATTATCAAATTCCATAAAATAATCATTGTAAGCTTGCCTTCAAGTTCCATCTTGGCAAACGTAACCCTAAAACCTTGTAATAACATCAAATAGGTTGAATTCCACCTTGTTCTGACATCCAAATGCAAACTCCCTCTACTTATATTTCCTGTGTCAACCCTATCATCAAAAGAGTTTAACATGTTAGTTGACGCTCTCACATATTTCAATGCATTGCGAATGGCTGAGACATTATCAACTAACTCAACCAACCCTTCCTTGACAATCAAGTTGATAATATGTACGCAACACCTTACATGCATAAACTCCCCATTTAAAACCAATACCTCATTGTTTAATAACTTGAATCCGCTCTGAAATTTCTTGAGAGCGGATGTGTTGGCAATGAAATTGTCAATCGTGATGGTGAATATCTTCTCTATTCCCCATTCAGCCAAACACTCTAGAAGAACTCTCGATATATTGTTCCCTTTATGATCAGTGACACACTTGAACCCGATTATTCAGCTTCCTCAACTGCCAATTTGCATCAATAAAGTGCAAAGTGATCATCATATAACTATTACCCGGGCTGAGCAACCTATATGTCAGTAGTAAGTGACACCCATTGCTTATTGTCTACAATGTATGCCCTAAGATCTGCTTTCCTTTTAGCATACATCTTTACAATGTTTCTTGTAGCAGTCCTTCTTGAATGAGGAGAGTAGAGATTGACCTTATTGCAGAAGTATCTCCATGCCAGAGATTCAACAAATGCTAATGGTTATTCCCCCCAACACTAGCATCTCATCAGTAGCCTCTTTGAAAACTTCAAAGAAAACCTTTGCATCTTTCATATTACCATCCTTAGTAATAACTCTTGTATCTGAAGATTGGCTCGCTTGATAGGCCACGAACTTCTTGTAACTTCCCAGATGCTTCATCAAATTCGAAGTCCCTTGGGAAGTTGCACATCCAAAAACTTGCAGACAATGGTCACATTTGCATTTGTCATAATTGTCCTCTAATCTTGTGTAATTATCCCACACAGGAGATCTTGTAGTTGGCCCCTTCTTTGGCTTAGGTGGCTTAGAAGTAGCTCCACTTGCCTCTTTTCTTTTCCTACGATTATTAGGCGCTTTTTGAATTTTTTGAGTTTCAGCATTTGGAACTGAAGAAGAATCCATCTATAGAAACAAAAATATTGAACATAAGTAAGAGATTGTAAAGTAAGTGGTAAATAAACTTGAAAGCGAACTCACATGCACACTTAGATTTTGTAATGAAGAATTAGTTCTCAATGTTGTAGTTCTCAAGTCGAAGATGCAGTAATACCAAATGTAGTTCTATGAAATAGTTCTCAAGACAAAATCATAATCAACAGTTCATCATTCGAGAAAAGTGAAGTCTACTAAACCTAAACACCAAAAGATAAAGTTACAAACTTAGTAAAATAAGAATAACTCCAAATTCTTGTTATTTGTAAATAAGAAGCATAATATCTGAAAACTCTTAAGAACCGTTAATGACTATGAATAGCAACTTCTCAATAAAATATCCATATGATAATGAATAGCAATTCTTAAGAACTGTTAATGGCAATGAATATCAACTTCGAGCTAAACTATATAATCCATACTAAGAATAAAAGCTAAAAAAGTAGCAACTTCTCAATGAATATCCATGTTGATTTTTGGATTCCAGTTTTTTTTGGATTTGGGAATCGATACTTTCTGATATTTGGCTTGAAAATTGGGATTGAGAATATGGTTACTTTCTGATTTTGTAGCTTCGTAATAGGGATTAAGGGAAAGAACATCAGAAGGGAAATCACCGGAGTATTGGACAAAAGTTAAGGTGGATCGACAGTCGGATATTACAAGTATACCGTTCGGGTATCGATTCGGAATGGATAATACCCTATATCTGAAATGCAAAACCAATCACTCCCGACCGGGTAATCAGCAATATTTGAATTGTCTCAGATCAGGTTTTTTGGGTCGGATCCGGATCGGATCTTCAGATCTGGCTAAAATTCCCAGGTCTAGTTTCTATGATCTGGAAATCCTAATGACACGCGTAAGGCAAATGTATCGTAGGAGGACCTCTGTTATCCCATGGAGGAGGGAGGTTTGGGTCCGATCATTGCATGAATTTTCCATTGTGTTTGCTATCAGCTTTGTATGGTGTCTATTCTCTCTTTCTGGCTCTCTACGAGTGGCATAAACCAAAAGATATGTGATGCATGATGGATCATTATGGGATGTAAAAGACTCGCATAGTGGATTTTGGATGTAGCACAAACTTCTGAAACTGCGGCCACTTGCTTAACCTTTCTCACGTTTTGAGATAATGGTTTGATGATTAGCTTAAGCAGGAGAGGCTACTCGATATTCTTGGTGATGCAGAGACTAGACTCTTTGGGCTTTATCGCTAGGCTAGGGTAGCTGAGGCTGTCACTGACATGCGCTGGCGTCTTAAAAGACAGCATGGGCCCATTCTATCGGCTTTTGCGGATGCGATTCGTATGACACCAGTTCCATCAGAAGACAAGGTTACATATATGATTATGTAAAACAAGAGGATGGTTGTTATCGTGATAAGTTCACTTCTGCTGGAACATGGGACCAAATGAGAAAGCAGAAGGACAATGAGGTGCCTTGGTGTAAGGTGGTATGGTTTGCAGAAGGTATACCCTATTTCTCGTTCATCAAGTGCCTTGCGATTAAGTCAGATTGGCCTCTGGTGATCGACAGTGGGGGGGGGGGGGGTTGATCAGCCTTGTCTCTTCTGTGGAGTTAGAAATAAAATGCGAGAGCTATATTTTTCGCTTGTTCGTACACTTACACAGTTTAGGTGGATATGGCAAATACATTGCTGAGTAATGCAACTAATCCGCATGATAATGGATTCCATTTTACTACGACTATTGTTTCTGTCCACATTTTATAATATTTGGTGGGAGCAAAATGGGAAGAGGCACAAAAAAAGTTGGGTTGCATCAGGGCAAATGTGCCATTTTATAGAGTGAGTCATGCGTAACTAGATTGTCTCTTTACGCACACTTTAGAGGATTATTGCGGAGATGGTAAAAAGTAAATATTCAAAGAACGCAAAAGACTCGCCTAGTGAATTTTAGAGAGATATAATAGTTTCCTATTGCATATTCTATTAACTTAACTTATTATTCAGTATTCTTTTATAAATATTTCTTTTAGTAATTAATAAATTTAATATTAATCAAAAATAAAAATAAAAATAATTTGAAAGATACTCCAACAATATTTATAAACTTATAACAACAAAATAATCATATTTTACTACATTACATTAGTTATATATGTCTAGATATATAATTATTAATTTATCTAATTACTGAGTGCATATAATTATATAGTAATTTTTAAAAATATATTATTTATTATCTTATCAAATTTTACTAATTTTTACATTAGTTCAATTTGGAATCAGCAAAATTTTTTAATTTATAATAACTATTAATATATTGAATACTAATTTATATAAATTCTACTGTAAATTGATTCACTCACTGTACATTGATTTAAAATTAAAATTTCATATAACTCAACAGCAAAAAAATGTAATTGATATTTTATATTGTTGTGATTTTTTTTCTAACTATATTAGTAAAAGAAATATAAAATCTTGAATCATGTGTTGGGATCTTGTAGTTTCCTGTATTCAGGTCCGGTTTTAGCCATAGGCTGGAAATGTATTTGCACAAAGTCTTAATATTTTTTTTTTTTTAGGTTTGTCAAAAAGGCTCAAAAAAATTTTTAAAATTTTTTTAAAGTAAAATAGGTCTATTTGTTTGTTTTTAGCTCAAGATCCTCTTTAATATTGGGCTGTATTAGTACATGCTTTCTCTAGCTGTATCATTTGGATCTTCGTGTCCTTGTAATTAAATGTTTGCTCGATCCATTGTTTACTTTCATTGATTTATAAAATTCAGATAACCCAAAAAAAAACATGAATCACCCAATTCATAAAAGTAAAGAACGAATTATTTTATTAATCTAGTAGAAAAGAATATAAGAAATGCAGAATTGGGTGATTCATGTTTTTTTGTTATAAAATACTGTAAAATACGTCGAACTATAAAGATACAACACCTTTCTCTACGGAATAATTGTTGTATCCACCAATGGGACCCAAAAGCAAATACCAACAGCAACTACTCTTTTTCTTATTTTTATTAATTATTTTTACTCGCACCCATATTTATTTATAATATTTCTTAGCCTTTCCTTGGCCACCATTAACGTGTACCCTCCAGATTCCACAAACCCAAGAAAATTATAATCAATATGAACAATGATTCCATTCCCCAACTACTACATTTCATTGATTTCAACACCAATTATGTCCGAGAAGAAAAACATCATCAGCAGCAATAGCAAGAGAAGAAAGAAGAGATGGCCCTCGATACTCTTCACCGGAGGAGGAGGAGGCGGAGGAGAAGGAGATGAGCTGGCGACGGTGAAAGCTGCGGCGTGGGCTTGGTACCAAAGAAACGAAGGAAAACGAATGGTTAGAGAGTTCGATCTCACAACAAGAGCCGCAAGAACACCTGGACCTTCGCGGTACAAGCTCGAGGCCAACAAGAACATGATTCTCTCCGAGAATAGGGTTTCTAAATCGTGCACTAATCATGTGTTGCGTGGAGATCAAGAAACCAAGTTCTCTAGTCTTCTTGACCCTTATGAAATCAAGAGTATTTCCAGGAGGATTGATGAGGGCTCTTTACACGCTAATCAGGCCAGTGCTTTCAGGGATGATCATGATCATGTTTTATTCAAGAAGAAGCTTGAAAATGATAGTAAGAAAGAGAATGGGTTGGTGACAAAAATGAGCATGAGAAATCTGTGGAAAGGAATGATTCTGATGGCTCCAAGGACAGTTTGTGGCAGAAGCGATGACGTGGATCTTAAGGCTTATCGAGCTGGCCCAAGAACAGTAAAGGTTGCACCGACGAGTGTCAATACGCGAACTGACCATCGCTAACTATAGTCTCTAGTTTTGTGGGAAGTAAATAATATATGTTCGGACATTATAATGCTAAACAGACCTTTTTTTTTTTTTTCATAATCTTGAATGGATTTTAACAAGTTTGTGTATGTTGTCTCGTTTTTTGTGTTTCTGATTTAGTATTTGTTAAAGTTTTGTTAACCACTTCACAAACTGAAAACATATTATTATGCAGAACTATAAATTAATTACATGTATAATCCTCTGAATTTCATCTTTATCGTTTCTTTTGCTTATTCTGCACAAGAACCGATTAATCGTGAGACATAGTGTGAAGGATCAATCATAATCCATGATGAATGCAATCATAGAATCACATATGTAAAGTACATATTCTCATTAAACACTAGCCTATACTCTAGTTCTCTCTTGTATATATTGATGGTTTCTGTATTGTAATCATATCAATCAATACAAACATTTACATGGTATCACAGCCTCCGATCCATAAATACAAAAGTTTTTTTTCATTCAAACATTTTTAATAAAAACTCCTAATTTTTTTTTTTTCAAATCTCATCATGAGTATTCCTACCAATAATAATCCAGCTGTTATCACCGATACGCCCAATACTCTATCACAATCGCTTTTCACAATCAACATGTCCAGTCCAATATAACAAAGCTCAACTCAACAAACTATCTCATGTGGAGCCTTCAGGTTCACTCTTTGCTCGATGGCTATGACTTAGCAGGTCATTTTTGATGGATCCATCGCACACCAACCCCCACTCTCACCACCGGTGATCAAATCACAGTCAATCCGCTGTTCACACTCTGGAAGCGTAAAGACAAACTCATCTACAGCTCTCTCATTGGTGCCATCTCGCCCACACTCCAGCCACTTATCTCGCGTACCACAACATCGATGGAGATATGGAAGACACTTGCTGCAATATACGCAAAGCCGAGCCGTGGCCATATCAAGCAACTCAAAACCCAGCTTTAAAACTGGAAAAAGGAAAACAAAACCATAGATGAGTACCTTCAAGGAGTTACAACTCGTCTCGATCAGCTGGCTATACTTGGAAAAGGGGTCGATCATGAAGACCATATCGATCTCATTCTGGAAGGTCTGTCTGAAGACTACAAGTCAGTAATCGATCAGATTGAAGGAAGGGATGTCCCGCCGTCCATCACAGAGTTACATGAACGTTTACTTAATCACGAGGCTAAGTTACTCTCAACCAATGAGCCCGTCATTTCTCACACACCAATCTCAGCCAACGCTTTGGAACATCGCTACACAAACAACAACAACAACAACAACCATCGCAATCAGAACCGCCAGAAGAACAACACTAATCAATGGATGCAACAGACGAATCCACAACATTGGCAATCGGCTCCACAGCAAAATTCAGAACAGAGAGGTTCAAGACCATACCTTGGAAGGTGTCAGATCTGTGGTGTTCAAGGCCACAGCGCCAAGCGGTGCTCCAAACTCTCAACGTTTCAAACTTCAACAACTCAGCAGCCTTCAAATCCCTTTAAACCGTGGAACCCAAGAGCTAATCTTGTCATGAACAATCCTTACACGGAAAATGATTGGATCTTGGACAGTGGTGCGACTCACCATATCACCTCCGATCTCAATAATCTCTCTCAACACAAACCGTATCGTGGTAGTGATGATGTGATCATCGCAGATGGATCTACAATCCCCATCACACAAACTGGTGTCACTACTCTCTCTACTTTAAATCGTACATTAGATCTAAATAAAGTTCTATATGTACCTGATATTCACAAGAATCTCATCTCAGTCTATCAGCTTTGCAATGCTAACAAAGTGTCTGTTAAATTTTTCTCCACTTCCTTTCAGGTGAAAGATCTGAGTACGGGGGTCCAGTTAATCTGCAGCAAAACTAAGAACGAACTGTATGAATGGCTGGTGCTAAGCTCCCAGGCTCACGCTCTCTCTGCTTCTGCGATGAAAACAGCAACTCTTTCTTCATGGCACTCCAGACTTGGTCATCCATCCTCTTCAATCATCGTTATTTCAAGTTTCTCTCTTCCTGTTACAAAACCATCTCATAAACATTTGTCTTGCACGGATTGCTTAATCAATAAAAGCCATAAACTTCCCTTTTCTACTTCCACGATTATCTCTACAAGACCCCTAGAGTACCTCTACTCAGATGTGTGGAGTTCTCCCATTCTATCTATCGATAATTACAAATACTATGTCGTTATCATAGATCACTTTACCCGTTATACTTGGATGTATCATCTCAAACAGAAATCACAAGTCAAAACCACCTTTCAAGCCTTTAAAAACCTTGTCGAAAACCACTTTCAAACACGGATCAGTACCTTTTATTCAGACAATGGAGGGGAATTTGTTGCTTTATGAGAATACTTTGCAGCCACAGGGATCTCTCATCTTACGTCTCCTCTACATACACCTGAGCACAATGGCATTTCTGAAAGAAAGCATCGACATATCGTTGAGACAGGGCTCACGTTACTCTCCCGTGCTTCAGTTCCCAAGACTTTCTGCCCCTTCGCGTTTGCTGCCGCGGTATACTTGATCAATCGCCTTCCAACGCCAACACTATCGATGGTTTCACCATACCAGAAGCTGTTTCAGCAATCCCCGAATTACACGAAACTTCGGGTATTTGGCTGTGCGTGTTTTCCCTGGCTTCGACCTTACAATAAACACGAAATAGAGGATCGTTCAATGGAATATATATTCTTTGGATATTCGACGACACTGAGTGCCTACCTCTGCTATCATAAATCTTCTGGCCGAATGTATGTCTCCCGCCATGTCCGCTTTGATGAGAATTGCTTTCCGTATAATCACAGAAATCAAGCTCCTTCACCAAACAGTGAGCTGAATTTGTCATCGGGGAACTGCTGGCCGATTCAAACAGAACTCCTCTCTTTGCCAACAAATACGCCACAGATAATCCCCTGCTTGGATCCTCACCCGCAAACACCATCATCTCCGACAGACTCTCCGACTACGCAGTCCTCCACGCAGGTATCTTCTTCTAACTCACACATTAATTCGGTTTCTCCTTTGTCTGAGCCCACTGCTCCAATACAAAATGGGCCGCAACCCACGGCCGAGCCAACTACCAAAAATAATTCAACGTTACCAGCCTCATCTCCTTCTATTGACCAAAACCCAACACCTACGGCCCATACAGAATCATCCTCCCACAAAAATTCCCAGCCCACTATGTCCTCCTCTCAAAACACGACATCGTCCTCCTCTCAAAACACGACATCGTCCGTCTCCAAAATGCCTCCACCACCACCACCCCCACCACCTCCCATCAATCCCCGAAATAACCACAAAATGGGCACTCGAGCCAAACAAGGTATTGCCAAACCAAACCCCAAATATGCAAAAGCTGTCACACTTTCGTCACACTCTTAGCCACGAACTGTGACTCAAGCGCTTCAAGATTAGCGATGGTGGAAAGCTTGTGTCTATGAAATCAATGCTCAGATTAGGAATCACAGTTGGGATCTTGTGCCACCACCTTCATCTGGTGCCACCACAGTCCCGATGGCTCTGTCAAGATACAAAGGCCGCTTGGTTGCCAAATGCTACAATCAACGGCCAGGCCTTGATTATGCTGAAACATTTAGTCTGGTAGTCAAATCTACTACAATTCGCATTATACTTGTTGTCGCTGTGGATCGTGATTGGTCAATTCGCCAGCTCGACGTAAATAACGCCTTTCTCCAAGGTACTTTAACCGATGAAGTTTATATGACACAGCCTCCAGGATTTGTTGATTCGGATAGACCCAACCACGTATGTCGACTAAGGAAAGCTATCTACGGTCTGAAACAAGCACCGAGGGCCTGGTATATGGATTTACGCACGTTTCTCCTTGACTCTGGTTTTCTCAATTCAGTTTCAGATACGTCTCTCTTCATCTTGAAGAATGGTCGATCAATTGTCTACATACTAGTTTATGTTGATGATATTCTAGTAAGGGGTAATGATACGGTGTTGATACGACAAACTCTTGATACTCTTGCTCATCGTTTTTCAGTCAAAGACCATGAAGAACTACACTATTTTCTGGGCATTGAAGTCAAGCGCAACTCTTCTAGGATACACTTGAGTCAGAGAAAGTACATCATCGATCTCCTTGCTGGCACAAATATGCTCAATGCAAAACCATTCTCCACCCCAATGGCCTCTACTCCGAAACTTTCTCTACATTCGGGTAATCGCCTTCCTGATCCAACAAAATACATGATGGTGGTCGGAAGTCTTCAATACTTAGCCTTCACGAGACCAGATCTCTCCTATGCGGTTAATCGTTTGTTGCAGTTCATGCATTTTCCAACGCTAGACCATTGGAATGCTTTCAAACGTGTTCTCCGCTACTTAGCTGGATCTACACGTCATGGGATTTTCCTTCGCAAGGGTAATAACATAGTCCTTTATGCCTTCTCTGATGCTGACCGAGGCGGTGACTCTGATGATTGTGTTTCTACAAATGGATATGTTGTTTACCTAGGTTCTCATCCAGTATCGTGGTCATCAAAGAAGCAAAAGGCAGTTGCACGATCATCGACGGAAGCAGAGTATAAGTCCGTCGCCAATACATCTTCAGAACTTCAATGGGTATGCTCACTTCTCGAAGAACTCCACATCCCTTTACCGGCAACACCAGTCATTTACTGTGATAACGTAGGGACTACGTATTTATATGCTAACCCTGTCTTTCACTCTCGGATGAAGCATGTGGCCATGGATTATCATTTCAAGAGGAATCAAGTGCAATCAGGAGCATTACGGGTAACACATATTTCAACAAAAGATCAGCTAGCCGATGTTCTCACAAAACCGTTACCAAGAGCTACCTTTACGAACTTCACATGCAAGATTGGAGTCTCGAAAGAACCTCCATCTTGAGGGGGTGTGTTAAAGATCAATCATAATCCATGATTGATGCAATCATAGAATCACATATGTAAAGTACATATCCTCATTAAAC